AACAATCCAACAAGTGTTTGGTTGATTATTCCAACAATGAAACGTTTGGTCTCTTTCCTGGCATTTTGTAGAGTAGTTTTTTTGTGTACCTTCGCATTTAGTATTTTCTATCAACCATGATTGCATGCAGCTTCATAAAGAAGCAATCTCGATGGTAAACTCCTATAAGCGCTTCTGCAGACGATACAACTGGTCATGTGAAGAGAGAGGCAACGGCTGTAGCAAGACTTCATCCTAATATGAAAAATTTATGAAATAAAATGGCATAAAAGGCATGGAGGGCGATGGGTAGAACGAGATTGCAAGAAATAAGAAAATCCACTAAAAGCCATAAATCCAGAAAAATGCGACCAAAAAACCAATTGTTCTACCTGCCTTATAAGCACCCAACACCTGCTGGATGGTCTCCTGACACCTTTTTCCCTAAAAAGAAGAGAAGTAAAGAAACCACAAGAAGTCACATGCTCTCCTCTTCTGCTGCAAGAACAGCAGATTTGGACATTTTCTGCGCTTGTTACTCACAATCAGAGGCGTCGGTGCCCCTTGTCCGCATGAGTTTTGTTATCTTGTAACTTTAAAATATAGTGGGGTAGGTTTTTGAAAGTAGCATCCTTGCCCTTTATCTGCATAAATTCTCCACAATTTGCTTCTTCAGTCGTACAAAATTGCGCTACTTTTCTTTCCAAAATCCCCTTTTTTGTTGAAATCAGAATCGCTTGTAATCAAAATATTGGAAAATACTGCAAGCAAGCGTAAAGCCTTTTTTGCAAAGTATATCAAATTACAAAATTAGTTTGAAAGTTTCTCGTATCTTCTAAAAGAGCTCATAGAATCTGATCTGGATTCATTTAGTTGGCCTTATGTTGAAAGTCTAGGTCGAGCGCTTTTCAAAAATACGAAGTTAGCATGAAATTACGAGGTCGTCGCATCTCTATGGAAATTCCGCCTTAAAAAATCAAAAGTTCTGTAATGGATCTATAGTTCCTCGGAGAACATTCATTCACTACCCGTTGTCGACCTCGAATCAAGTTTCACGAGGAAGCAAACCCTGATCAATGAACCTTATCGACGACCATCATAAATGAGAAAAAGCAGAACGCTGCACTTCTAGCTCCGTAATGAGCACTCAGGTCTACCTTTGAATCCTTTCTAACTCTGGAATATGATTGCCCAGCTTCAAATAAACCCACGATTACAAGATTTTACTTTTTGGGGTACACAAGGTATTTGGCGAATACTACTAAGTATCGAGATTATTGACAGAAAATAATCCCAAAAACTTTTGTGTACAATCGAAAACTCTGCTGTGTCCGACGAATGTTCTACAAATTGCATTTCTACTTACCACCAAATTATGCAAAGAAGGCTGAGCTGTGGTCTAACCATCGAAGAATGGGCATTAAGTGAAACTTATGCGGCGAATTTGTTGACGAGTCAGGAATTACAGTATTAGCAATAAAGAAATGTTTGATAAAAGGGAAATTTATAGTATCGCACAAGTGTACTATGTCGATGATTATTCCACATCACATGTAAGCAGTCACACTGCACAAAAAGAAAAAAGAAAACTTTCAGAGGATTCCATTACACTAGAGCACTATTGGAACAAAATGAATATCAGAGCATAATGTATCAAAAGGAATTGCAAACTTTCTTGCACATCTAAAATTTCCCAATTCGAGCACGCAGGAAATATAATAGAGATTTTGTGAATCCAGAGAAACGATATGTTAGAGAATAAGTTTAAAAGGACAAAACTATTCTTGATAGAATCCAACCTGGAATCCATTTTGAATATAACATTACCCAAGATCGCTCAAAAACCTTTTTTTTTTTGATAGCCTAGAAGGAAATAATTTGTTATTGTCTTTAGGATAGTTAATATGAATTTAGGTTAAATCCTAAGATGCATTTGATTCGCCCTTAAAGGAAGAAAAGACTTTTGAATTAGGAAAAGAAAACAATCACAATATTCTTATTTCTGCCACTGCGCTGTGTAACTAGGCTTAGAATTATTACCGTCGCAGCTGTTGAATCAAATAATTTTGCTGCCTTGATAGATAAG